TATGATCACTTGTGATGGGACAGAACACTGCTGAAGGAGTGGCCAAGAGCCAGTGACCAGTGGGCTCTCAGGAGCAGAACCTCTGCATTTTTCCCTCCACCTGTCTGCACCGTTGAACGGTTTTCACAAGTATGTTTTATTATAATAAAAAAAAACCCAACAAGAACAACAAAACCCATGGCTTATTAAGGAAAGTATTAGGGCCTTACAGTACCTCTTATCATCAATAGTGCGCCACAGTTTAATTGGTAATGCGTTTCTTGGTGGTAGTGAAATATTACAATAATGCTTTTGAGAATGTATTAGGAGTGAACCTCATTATCCAGATTTAGGAGTAATTCTCTCGGAAGGAAGTGGGATGGATGTTTTGAATATTTAACTAATGATCGGGCCTGAGTGTCACTGAGGAAAACAAGCCCTTTCTAAGATATAATTGCAGTAGGAAGTAGTGAAAAAGCATAAAGCATAAAAAATGTGTTTCACTGATACCTCTGCATTTATGTATATTCATGAGGATTTATGTTGAATGACTTAAGCAAATCATCTGACCTTTATCCATCGCTCTGAAATTTTATTGACTTCAGGAGGGCTTTTGGAATTTATCCATAGCAGTTTTGCTGGGAATTCTTTTCTCATTCAGGTAATACATACTGTGTTTTTAATAGATCCATCATTTCTGCAGCCCCGCACTGAGTATAAGCTGTTAATGTGATTTTCAGGGAGCCATTTTGGAAAGGCAGTGTTTTTCACTTCCCAACGCGGCTTCTTTAAAGCAAACTACTTTTAACCAATGTTAGTGGTGGCCTGAAAAAAAATGTTTTGTGCATGTGTGTGTGTGTGCACGTGTGTGTGTACACACATATACTCCTGCCCAAATGAATAAAAATAATCTCATCAGCTTGGTGATGAATTTGACCAGCTATTTAATTGTTATATTACAATTAAGAGAAATTGGTGTGTCCCATGTTCTGTAGGAATTTAACATCTGTCGTAAACTGTGGCAACATAGCCAAGGGTAAGTGAAGCCGAGGTCACCCCTTCTGGCTGGGGGCCCAGCCTTCTAATAAGGTTCATGATCATCCTGCTTGTGACTTGTGTCCACATGCGGGTGGGTCTCCCTGTCTGTCCTTGGAGATATGCAATGTTTGCCTTCAGCATCCAGTCACATACATTTAGATCTGGAAAAAGCCATGTAGAGCTTTTACAGTGGTTCTTTTCTGAATCATTGACCTTCTTGAGAATCTGGTAAAATGTATGTCCCCTCCCTTGCAAAATGAATGAGTTCGTCTGCACAGAAAATGTGCATATATGTATATGTATGTGTGTGTATATATATATGTAGGGTCCCTGGACCATTTAAACACGTACGCCGAGCCCTGATTCAAATCAGCGTCTCGTTTTGTAGATGAATAAGCTGGGAGCTAGAGAAATTTAGAGATTTCCTCAGGTGGTAGAGCTTGCTCTTAATCTAGTGCTTTCATACACATTTTCAAGATTCCACATGTGGTTTCATCTCTCTGAAATGCAGTGTGATGTGGTCAGCATCCTGTGGAACACTCTGGGTTCTACCAAAGAAAATGTATTTTAGCAAAAGACACCTTCATCAATGAGAA